GTGTTAAAGGCAGTAACCAGTAGATTGTAGAACCAAACATTTTTAGTGTTAAAGCAAGTAACCAGTAGATTGTAGAACCTAACATTTTTAGTGTAAAAGCAAGTAACCAGTAGATTGTAGAACCTAACAGTTTTAGTGTTAAAGCCAGTAAACAGTAAAGTGTAGAACCAAACATTTTTAGTGTTAAAGCCAGTAAACAGTAGATTGTAGAACCAAACATTTTTAGTGTTAAAGGCAGTAACCAGTAGATTGTAGAACCAAACATTTCTAGTGTTAAAGCAAGTAACCAGTAGATTGTAGAACCAAACAGTTTTAGTGTTAAAGCCAGTAAACAGTAGATTGTAGAACCTAACATTTTTAGTGTTAAAGCCAGTAAACAGTAAATTGTAGAACCTAACATATCTATATATACACTACTAAAACTCTGAGATTGTTTGTGAGTGTGCTCGTCTGTAATTAAATACAGCAAAAATGATGCACAATATTGCCATATTTGTAATGAAATGAGAACAGAAACAGAATAAAACAAGTTTTGTTAAAATCGGGCAACGGGTTACCGAGTTAGCCCCATTTTTTGGGTCACTTTTTGTACATTCCATTATTATAAAACTTGGTTTATACAACAATATATGCACAACAGAAATTAAACGATGAGATGAAAATGTGTTATAATGGCCTGTAGAAAGAACAACAATAAAATGGACCTACAATATTATTGACTATTTGCAAATAGTAACTATGGAGACGAGGTAATAAACTAAAAATCAAGTCGAGAACAACAACAAAACTTTATAAACGAAAACCTCTCGCCTAGCATTGGCTATTATATTATTTCCCTGTCAATGTTCCCATCTTCATTAAAAGGCATAAGGTGACAACAATCAAATATCTTTTCTTGAATTATGAATAACATGAATGGATTGAAATATTTAATTAAATTATCTCAAAATAAACCTCCATTTCAGTGCAATATTGAAATTAGCTTGAATTCTTCATAACCTCTAAATAGTGGTTGACCCAACGAGTCACGGTGGTCTAGTTTATTAATAAAAGTAAAAACATTGAGTGATGGGAGTTGGTTGTCACACCAGTAGCTCCTAATTGCCATTTTTTGTGTATCATAAAGTTAAGAAACAGAGAGCTTAACATATAATTGACCTTGTTGTATTATCAAAGTACGGGAAGCTTAGAATACATTTTTAATTTAGAATAAAAAATTGTTGAACAATTTCTAGATGGTATCTAAGATTAAATCATTACACTCAACTAAGAATATCGAGAGATAAAACACAAATCATACACTTACAGTAGTTCAAAACAATAAAGCATCCGTTCAAAAGAATCACTTGATCAGATCAGTGAGATTACATAAGAATATTTGTAATTCTGCATTTGACTAAAATAAACACCATACAGTTTAGTGATTGTTTTATATAAACACCGTCCCTCATTTCTTCTGGAGATATATTACTGAATAGTATGGTCTGGAAGTTTAGTGATTGTTCTATATAAACACCGTCCCTCATTTCTTCTAGATATATATTACTGAATAGTATAGTCTGGAAGATTAGTGATTGTTCTAGCTGAATCATCTGATAACGATGCCATTTTGGGAACTCCGAGTCTTGATCTTTTTAGTGCAGGCCCTATAAGAGACAGCTTTATTAAAGTTGTGAAGTACACAAGCTAGACTTTTACTGAATAATACACTGTTCACATAATGTGGGAAGATTTGCGAAGTACACAAGCTACACTTTTACTGAATAATTACAAATCTTCCCACATTATGTGAACAGTGGAAGTACACAAGCTACACTTTTACTGAATAATACATTGTTCACATAACGTGGGATGATTTGTGAAGTACACAAGCTACACTTTTACTGAATAATACATTGTTCACCTAACGTGGGAAGATTTGTGAAGAACACAAGCTACACTTTTACTGAATAATACACTGTTCACATAATGTGGGAAGATTTGTGAAGTACACAAGCTACACTTTTACTGAATAATACACTGTTCACATAATGTGGGAAGATTTGTGAAGTACACAAGCTACACTTTTACTGAATAATACATTGTTCACATAACGTGGGAAGATTTGTGAAGTACACAAGCTACACTTTTACTGAATAATACACTGATAACATAATGTGGGAATTGTTGTGAAGTACACAAGCTAGACTTTTACTGAATAATACACTGTTCACATAATGTGGGAATTGTTGTGAAGTACACAAGCTAGACTTTTACTGAATAATACACTGTTCACATAATGTGGGAATTGTTGTGAAGTACACAAGCTAGACTTTTACTGAATAATACAGTGTTCACATAATGTGGGAACAGTTGTGAAGTACACAAGCTAGACTTTTACTGAATAATACAGTGTTCACATAATGTGGGAACAGTTGTGAAGTACACAAGCTAGCCTTTTACTGAATAATACACTGTTCACATAATGTGGGAATATTATGTGAAATACACAAGCTAGCCTTTTACTGAATGATACACTGTTAACATAATGTGAAAAGATTTGTGAAGTACACAAGCTACACTTTTACTGACTAATACACTGTTCACATAATGTGGGAATTGTTGTGAAGCACATAAGCTACACTTTTACTGAATAATACACTGTTCACATAATGCGGGAAGATTTGTGAAGTACACAAGCTAGCCTTTTACTGAATAATAAATTAATACATTGTTCACATAATGTGGGAAGAGTTGTGAAGTACACAAGCTAGACTTTTACTGAATAATAAACTAATACATTATTCACATAATGTTGGAAGAGTTGTGAAGTACACAAGCTAGACTTTTACTGAATAATAAACTAATACATTGTTCACATAATGTGGGAAGAGTTGTGAAGTATAAAAGCTAGACTTTTACTGAATAATAAACTAATACATTATTCACATAATGTAGGAAGATTTGTGAAGTATACAAGCTAGACTTTTACTGAATAATAAATTAATACATTATTCACATAATGTGGGAAGAGTTGTGAAGTACACAAGCTAGACTTTTACTGAATAATAAACTAATACATTGTTCACATAATGTGGGAAGAGTTGTGAAGTATACAAGCTAGACTTTTACTGAATAATAAACTTTTCACAGACTGTGAACGTTTTTCTTGTATTTCAGATAGATACACATCTCCTAATAGAACGGAGAGCTATAACCTTGTGCACATGTGCCAAGCCTTGAATGAAACTCTTACATGATTTAAAGTGTATTGTGTCAATCAATGATGCTATCAACAGTAGACTGTAGCCCTCCACCAACAAGAGAGCGACACATCTGCCATGTACAGTAGTCTCTTTGAGAACATTTTGTATTACCACAATCCCACTGTTGATGAAGCAAAAGAAAGAAACATACTGAGAGTGAGGAGGAAGGATGGGTGGTTCTGTGGAGAGGTGAGTATTAATCTGAAACACATTCTCTTGTAAGAAAAGTTTAACTTCATAAACACTACTTACCTATCTGCAAAAGTGGAAAAGAGAGGATTCCAAATTGAGAAGATGATGAAAGGACTGGATAAAGAAAATAAAAAGACATGCTCCTTTATATTGTCAAAATGAAAGAAAAGGAAAACCCATGAAGTCAGTCACACATTGGGAGGAGTTCCTAGTGGACATTGCTCAGTGGGAGACAATGTATTCACATTATACAGGGAATGTTCTTCACTTAATAAAGGTGGTAGAACAAAAGAACTTACTGCATGGTGCTAACGAGTTGCATAGGAGGGCAGAATGCAATGACTGCCCAACTGGCCTGTGTATCTCATGGGGCTAGTAGAGAAAGTATGTGTAGTGTGGCTAGGGCAATAAGTCAAAACTTACAGTATGTGAGAAATACTAATGTGAAACATCACATGGTTCATCCCAGACCTGCATCCAAAGACCATCTAGTTGGTTCTAAGTGTGGGGGATGGCCTGTACTACACTTCCAAGTAAACACCCCAGTTTTACTTCTTTTCAAGGGGGTGTTATCCAATTGGTTTCATAAGAGTGTTTGGGAAAGCAGATGTTCTCCTGTTACTTCACTAGAGGAAAAAGAAGGGCAGGAATATTCATAGGGGAGAAACATAAAAAGTATGTTCGAAGGGTCAGGAGGCAGGTGTCCTATTAGCAAGTACCTTCCTGTTGGATGATGTAAGTAATGACAGTGGACTTGTTTAAATGATTCATAACAAGATGACCAGACAAAAGATCATGACAAACATCATCACAAGAAGATCAGACCCCAGAAAGGGTGCAGGTGTCCAGAACTGTATCCTACTCACACAAAGGCATCTGTGAACAGATGCAAGTCCAGGCAAGGTGGGTGAAGAGAGATGGCCAGGGTCATGTGGGACTAACTGAACCACTGGAACAGTAAGAGGTTAAGAGACACAAGGGAGATCAATGCTTGCTAAAGAGAACATCTATGGGTGCGTCCCAGAGGAAAAAGGACTCTAAAGAAGTCACAATCTCCAAAAGAGGCAGAACCTCTCATGCAGGAAAAGAAGACAACATAACTTTTTTTTAACCATAAGCTCCATATCTCAAAAAATTATCAGAGAAGGCTGAGCTTACTTTGTAAATAAGTTAAAAAACAACAACTTCAATGTGAATCAGATACTGGTTGGCTGTCAAGATGGACTTGGAGAGCTTGACCAGTCAATCCAAACAAAACAACTTTTGAAGTAGAAGGGATGTAGTAGCTGAGAATACTTGTTTGGATGAAGCCAGAAGGTGCCAGTTGTCCATATATTAGTGGATATATATGCCAAACAAATGCATCCTCCATGCAAATGCCCTCAGGATCCAAGTTACAACATATGGGGCTAAAGCCAAACAAAAAAATGGCTTAGAACTGAAAGTTCCGACAGTCATGTATGAACTGAAGGAAATGACAAGAATTCTTACAAGTTGGAACATGAACAAATACATCTGAAACACTGACCATCATCATACACTATCCAGGAGAGAATCATCCATCTGGAAAAATGAAAAAAGTGGTTTAGATCTATGAAAGGTTGTAAATCACCCATCTCTTTGGGTATGACAGAAAGATGAGAGTAAACACAGAGTGGGTCAAGGTCCTGCTCCTCTGAGCTTATATCCAGGAGACAAGATATGACCTTCAGTCACCAATAACCCAATGGATATGACATGGGTGTAAAGAGGAAGTTGAGTGTAGAAAGACAAGGAAAGCTTACAAGGAAGCAAGTGGTGAAGCTAAGCTCCTGCCAGAAAAGAACAAAATGGTGGCTCTGAGATCCTTGAAAGACTGCACTCTGAGAAGGGGACAGTTAGAAAGTAGATGAGGGGATGAGGAGCAAAAGATGAGGTGACCCTATGAAGTTTCCAAGGAATAAAAACCTGTTGGGACTCCTAGACTGAGAAAAGTGAGAAACCAAAGGGAGCAGAGATGATTGCTTATGAGTTGCCTCAGATCAAGTTTCCAATGTATAAGAAACCCTCCAAAACTTCATCGTAAAGAATGGATGCCTACAGAAATCTCTTAAAATTCAGGGAAACAAACTCCAGTTATTCAAATCTTGACCAAACAAATCCCAGACACAAACAAACCTAGTGAACAAGGACATTGTGAAAAAAAGAAATCATGGCTAAGGTAGAGCTGTTGAGGTTATGAAGCAGATCTTCCAAAAAAAGGTATGGACAGAGAGTGACAAAAGCTAATCTGGGATTTGCTACAAGTAGAATGAGGGCAAGAGAGAGAGACAAAGAAAAGGGAGATCCCCAAGCTGAAGGAAGAGATTCAATGGGCCGAAACTTAGGGAAAGAAGAATAATCATGACCATATGACACAGAATAAGATTTGAGCAAATCCACAAAACCAATTTCTAATGATAATAAAAGTTAAAATACTAAGTGTAAAAACTTTTGCAATTAGTAATGAAAAAAATACATTTGAAGCCAAACAGTGCTGAGAAAAGAATGAGCTTTTGATATACACAATGTGCTCAAGAAAATTGTTGTGCATGGAGGATGTGTTACCCTCCTATTGATGGAGGGCTATAGGCTAAAGGATGTGTTACCCTCTTACTGGTAGATGGCTATATGCTAAAGGATGCATTACCCTCCTACTTGTAGAGGCCTATAGGCTAAAGGATGCATTACCCTCCTACTGGTAGAGGTCTATAGGCTAAAGGATGTGTTATCTTCCTACTGGTAGAGGTCTATAGGCTAAAGGATGTGTTACCCTCTTATTGGTAGAGGTCTATAGGCTAAAGGATGTGTTAACCTCTTATTGGTAGAGGGCTATAGGCTAAAGGATGTGTTAACCTCTTATTGGTAGAGGGCTATAGGCTAAAGGATGTGTTACCCTCCTACTGGTAGAGGCCAATATGCTAAAGGATGTGTTACCCTCCTACTGATGGAAGGCTATAGGCTAAAGTTGTAAAGCAGGCAGCTGGCCTGCGAGGTGGTTTTATCCAGACCAAGATGAGTTTTAAAATATAATTGAATCTGGCCCATGAGCAACCCACAAACTCAATGTTTTTATTATATTATCATCATTTATTTTACCAAATCTAATCTAACCTTAACTAACCTAAAGAGTTTTCTATTTTTACATTTTATAAATAAAGAATACACATGGAAAACCAGATGACCACTGGTGATGACACTTAAGCTCACTTTTTTTATATACTAATGGTAGTAGTGCACTAAATAATTTTTATTTAATTAAATAATACACCAAAGAACACAGAATAATAACATGAAAAAGCAGACAACTTCCCCTAACTAACACATTTTTCAGGCATTCTAACTATGAAACAAGAGTCGTTACAAATTCTCCCAAGATAGTCAATATCTTTCACATGGGAACAAAGCCTGTACTAAAAGAAAATTGAAAATTCTCTGTACATAAAATAGCATAATATAATACATAAGTTGATAGATGAAAAGCTCCACTTTCTATTGGTTATAAATAATACAGTATTAAATGTAAGAGAGAACTATTAACAATTCCTGAAAGAGAGGGTGTGGCAAAAGGGGTCTGATTTTCTATTTTATTGCTTTGTAACCAAACAAGATTGGTTGCTAGGAAAATTATGCTTGTCTGAACAATTACAATATTATAGTGAGTAATTTATGTTAAATTTTGCACTTACTGGAGGGATGATGAATAAATTGGAGAAGAGGGGATGTGTAAATAAAAAAATGTTACATATCTCACACTAGGGGAAATTCAGTTATGTTGTCTTATAACTTTAAGAACTTAAACTTACATAACATTAAAATTATGGATTATTAGCTTTAATTTTGATTTATACAAATTTTGATTTGTACATTTGAAAATTGCTATCCAGCCCACACTCTGGAGGAAGTTGCACATGTCTAATGTAAAGTTTACATTTTAACAATATGTCTGACTTGGGAATTTTTTTTATTTTTTATTTGTCTTAAAGCAAAGTTTAGTTTGAAATTTGTACTTATGTAATATTGGGCCGTGTGTGTTTATTATTATCTGACTGACAAGTTTTTAATGCTTTCATTTTTAACAAAATGTCTAAATAAAGAAAGGATGTTTGCCTACATACACTTTCAAGGTTTGATGTTTGCCTACATACACTTCCAAGGTTTGCCGTCCTTCGTACATTAAACTATTTGTTCTTTAAAATCAACTAACTCTTAAAATATAATGAGTAGTACATTTAGGATGAATTTGAAAGTCATGCACACACATTTTGTTGTTCTGGGATGAAGCTTGTGTTTACTTACCAGCAATACTAAGTAGGATTGGTAAAAAAATCAGTCCATGAGAAGCTCCAATTAGGACAATACCCAGATACATTCTGAAGTAGAACACTCGAAATATCTGAGACTTTGCAAATCCAAGGACCACAATTCCTCCAAACTTAGTAAGTGTAATACCTGATAAAACCTAGTAAAAACAAATTACTGAATTAAAATTCTCAAATATTTATGTTACCTTTACTCACAGTAGTAAATATGTAACAAATTAAATGTTTAGGAATTTTCACAATAAGATTGAAGTAACAACAAATTTATACAGAGAAGATGTCTATAAAAATAAAGTAATTGTATGCTTGAGATCACAAATATTTACAAAATTAGTTGTTTTAAAGTGTTTAGGTATTTCACAAACTTTCAGTAAAATAGAGTAACAGAAAGAAGAATCTAAATGAATTATTTTTACACAACCTAGAAACTGAGTACTTACAGAGCTGCCCATTCTGGATAAAGCATCTTGTGCACGCAAAGTTCTAGTTTTCTTTACACTGTTACCAAAAGCTTTAGTGATGTGAGCACAGAATTCCACAGAAATACCAACAGCCTGAAACACCAAGAATAGGTCAATTAGTCTTACACCAATGGTGAGAAAAGTTTGATGTATCAACAGTCTGAAACACCAAGAATAGATCAATTAGTCTTACATCAGTGGTGGAAAAAGTTTGATATACCAACAGTCTGAAACACCAAGAATAGGTCAATTAGTCTTACATCAGTGGTGGAAAAAGTTTGATATACCAACAGTCTGAAACACCAAGAATAGGTCAATTAGTCTTACATCAGTGGTAGAAAAAGTTTGATATACCAACAGCCTGAAACACCAAGAATAGGTCAATTAGTCTTACATCAGTGGTGAGAAAAGTTTGATATACCAACAGTCTGAAACACCAAGAATAGGTCAATTAGTCTTACATCAGTGGTGAGAAAAGTTTGATGTATCAACAGCCTGAAACACCAAGAATAGGTCAATTAGTCTTACATCAGTGGTGGAAAAATTTTGATATACCAACAGTCTGAAACACCAAGAATAGGTCAATTAGTCTTACATCAGTGGTGGAAAAACTTTGATATAAGATGCTTTACAAAGTTTACAATTTTGTTGGATAGTCATTTCACTAGGGGAAAAATGTTGCCCTTATAATCTTTTAACATTCTTTGAAAAGGTTACACTGCTTATGTACATGAGGGTTAGGGTGTGGATTTGGTGTATTTGAATTTTCAGAAAGCATTTGACAAGGTGCCATATAAACCGACTTGTAAAAAAATGATCTCCGTAGGTGTGGAGTACAATTTGGCTAGTTGAATAGAAAAAATGGCTTGATGGGAGAATGTAGTGGGTTGTTACAAATGGAGTTCAGTCAAACTGGATTAATGTCACAAGTGGGGTACCTCAGGGCTCAGTCTTAGGACCTTTGCTCTTTTCGATTTACATCAATTACATAGATGAGAGAATGGTCAATAAATTACTTAAATTTGCAGATTATATTAAGATCTTGGGTGATGCTAGGTGTGAAGAGGATGCTGCTAATTTACAAAAGGATTTAGATAATTTAGTGAGTTGAGCAAATAAAGGGCAAATGGGTTTTAATTATAATAAATGCAAGATAATGCATTTGGGTTATCTTAATTTGAATTATAAGTATAATTTGGATGGGAATAACCTTAACAGTGTCATAAAAGAAAGTGATCTTAGTGTAATGGTTTACCAGTCTTTTAAGCTATTCAAGCAGTGTGCTGTTTCTAGTGGTAGGGAAAATAGGATTTTAGGTTGTATCTCAAGAAATATTGAATACAAGTATAAAGAGGTTATAATTTCATTGTACAGGTCACTGGTTAGTCCACATTTGGAGTATTGTGTTCATTCTTGGGTTCTTTACCTTACGAGGTACATTACATTGTTGGAAAGAGTTCAAAGAAAAGCTACAAGGATAATACCTGGGGTAGAAAGATTGTCATATGCGAACAAGTTAAGAATTGTTTTCCATTTATCATACTTTATTAAGAAAAATGGAAAAGAAAAAAAATGTCAACAGAAAGAAATGTACTAACCCAACAAAATTTCCTCCTATGTTTAAATAAGTGTATCTTTTACAGTATTGGAGATAATTATGGAAACAGAGAGGAAAAAAAAAAGATATAAAAGGCAAATACAATGGGAATGCCATCTTTTACACTGAGATTAGTTGTCAACCAACCAATCAAATAGTACCACACTCCAGTATAAAGCCTATAAAAGTATAGACAGTCATATGGTGTCTAGTATTAGTATTGATGTAGATCCTGTCATGGCTCTGAGGACTGACATACTACATGACAAGCATGAAATTTTGGCTGTAAAAGATACTCTATATGAAAAGGTGTGGTACAATTCCATGTTTCAGTAGGAGCTGTAGGAAAGACTCTAAAGAGGGTAAAAAACTGGCACTGCTAATAACAGGACTGATAAAAGCATAAAACTGGAACTTGAAAAACGTTAAGTGTATCTGGGTATGTTATTTATGAGACAGAAGCAAGCTGAGTATAAATCTTACTGATGATCTTGATTAAAAATACAGGTTTGAATGTTACTCTGAGAACATCAAGACAAATATTAGCACAAAGTGTTGACTTTAGATTTGTAGCTGCTCAAAGCTGCTGCTGAGAAGAGGTAACCATATTAAAAAAGTAAAATTGTCATCATACAACAAACAGTGGAATGAGTAAAGCTGGCTGAGAGGAAAATGATATCATAGTCAATGTACATCTACAGTGAAGCATGAAAGAGGATCAATACATATTTGGAACAGCATCTTAGTCAATGGTATCAGTGAACTGTACAAAAGTGATGGTACCCTGGCTGTTGATAAGCACAGGTATATTCTGATAAATCATGCCATTCCCTCAGGCACACGCTTCACCTCCCAACAAGAAAATTAATGATCCAATGCATACAGCAAATGTGTTGAAATATCTTGAAGTGATGAGACAGATGGAACACACAAACAATCTGTTCCAAGTCCCGATATGAACGTTCTTATATACAACTAAAAAAATATTACAAAATAACCTCTCTCATATTGTTGGGTATAATAAAAGACCTGAAGCTCAAATGGATTTCTAGTGTTCTTATATTAGTATTTATATATCTGTTTATATTCTCAACATGCAAGCTACCTTCACCCTGCACTTGCATAGTTACTTTAAACAAAAGTATACTTTATCAATATAGATTAAAATTTCTTATTATAAGTACTTACTACTACAATGTTCATTGCACAGAATACATGACTGTTAAGTAATTACCATTACAGATAATAAACTAGTACAGAGAATATTACTGCATGAACTTACCATTACTAGGTTGACTAAAGAAACACCATTGAGACTGATATTCCACCAATACATCATTCCCATTAGGTTCACAATGATCATTGTTATTGTGAGAACAATGATTAGAGAGGAATGAATATCAAGGTATAGTAGAAGCAGTGTGACAACAAAAACAGCCGAGATGGTAATGGCCAGATTTGAAATGGTGTCTCTCCACATTGTCAGATACTGTTCGTAGAAGACGTAGAAAACACTAAAAATATATAAAAATAGGCAGATTCTTCTTTTAATAACTTACCATAATAAAATTATTTGCAAGCAACTTCT